AGCTGGGACTACAGACGCCCGCCACAACGCCCAGCCATTTTTTGGTTGCAGCCATCGTTGTTTGTTGGGCCCGGGCTGGGGATTCGAACCGGCCACCTTAGGTGTATGTGGCTGGCGCCTTAGCCGCTTGAGCCACAGGCGCTGAGCCGGACCACGAGTTTTTAACTTTTCTTCAGTATCCTTAGAATTCTCCCACCAAGTTTCAATCTAATTCAGAGAATGCAGTTATAGCATCAAAGTTCTCCCCTCAAAACCTGCTGTGAAAATAGTTGGTGTCATCATAGAGCTATGCAGTGTGGAAAAAACCCCGGGGTGTTCCTCCGTAAGGGACAGTCTTACCGCGGGATCACATGTGCTCTCACCACTCACCTACACGGGTGTGTGGATGGCGTGGCTGTCAGCATTTCACCGGTATTAGTATGAGTTTACCCAGGCAAATGTGAGTAAGACCCGTCCTTCAAACGCTTGACACACGGAGAAGTGAAGAAAAACGTATCTTGTGTTGTGAGAACAATGGCAGGAAAGATTGTGGAGTGAGTGCAGCTGTTAACAAAAGTTGTGTTGCGTATACAAATTCTGCTTTTTAGTAGATGGCCTTTCAGAAGGGTTACACGTGGAATATACAAAATGTATGGCATATTGAGTTCTTTCAGTTTTATGAGTTATCTATAATGAGGTGGGTAATGATTCTTATTACTTTCTTATACCCCATGGTTAGTTGACCACTAAAGGAGAAGTTAAACTACAAATATTTCATATGAGATGATAAATCACTCTTGTTTTTTTTTAATTGACAGAGGAACTCTGTTGTTTGAAATCGCTCTTTTTTTTTTCTTTTGAGACAGAGTCTCACTGCATCTCCCTTGGTAGAGTGCTGTGGCATCACAGCTCACAGCAACCTCAAACTCTTGGGCTTAAGCAATTCTCTTGCCTCAGTCTCCCAAGTAGCTGGGAGTACAGGTGCCCACCACACACCCAGCTATTTGTTGCTGTTGTTGCAGTTGCCATTGTTGATTTTAGCTGGCCCGGCCTGGGTTCGAACCCGCCAGCTTTGGTGTATGTGGCTGGTGCCCTACCCACTGAGCTACAGGCACCTCCCTGTTGTTTGAAATCTTTTAAAGGTGATGTGGTCCCTCCTTTGTGTGTCCTGCTGAATTTTCAAAATTGAAGGAGTTTCATTAAGCAATACAGGCTGTTTTCTTACCATGCTTACAAAGGCTGTTAGAATGTCAGTGATGACATTGAAACTTAGTGTGAACTGAATACGCAAAGCCAAGTAAGTTTGACTCTAGAACTTTTGCGTCAGTATCTTTCAGAGCCTGGCACCAAGTACCTGGGGATTTTTGGAGCTGACCTTATTGAACATCGCTTATGTTACGCGTTTTAACAGTGTTTTCATACTGAAATAAAAGTTTGAACTGGTCAAGGAAACCACTCAACTCCCTCTGAATTGCACATTTCCTAATAAAAAATCATAGTCAACTTTAAAATAAAAATTTCCCATTGCTCTGCCTTCAGGTCTCTGGACTTGTTTAATTGGATGGATTCGAGAGTCTGAAGTGAAAGGTTAGATACCATTTGCAATTAATTATCTGTGAATCAGGATTTTCTGTCTGTTATGAAGGCAAAATAAAAGAGAAATGAGAAGCTTCCTTTGTGATGCAAGTTGTGTTTGCAGGAATAGTTTCATTTATAATAAGTACCATAATTAACGTAATTCTTTTTTGAATATTGGGATTGTATATAAGGTTTCCTCTGACAAAGGCTGATTCCACTGCTAAAATTCTTTTTTCTTTTTTTAATTAAATCATAGCTGTGTACATTAATGCAGTCATGGGGTACAGTGTGGTGTTCTCATATACAATTCGAAATATTTTCATCAAACTGGTTAACATAGCCTTCATGTATGTCATTTTCTTAATTGTGTTAAGACTTTTTTTTTTTTTTTTTGGCAGTTTTTGGCCAGGGCTGGGTATGAACCTGCCACCTCTGGCATATGGGGCCAGCGCCCTACTCCTTTGAGTCACAGACACTGCCCGTGTTAAGACATTTATATTCTACTTTTAGAAAGAATCACTTGTACCCTTGTAAGATAAACCATAGAGGTGATCCCACCAATCGCCCTCCCTCCACGCAGCCTTAAAGAAAGATGGAGACTTTACCTCTTTCATGTTTATATGGATGGAGCTGGAAAATGTTCTTCTTAGCAAAGTATCTCAAGAATGGAAGAAAAAGTATGCAATGTACTCAGTCCTATTATGAAACTAATTATAGCCTAAAATGCTTTAAAATCCCTTGCCCTTGCTATTTCTAGCTGACGGCGAAGCCCCTGCATATAGCCTGCTGTGGTTGAGTTGGAAACTTGTCCTTGAGCTCTTCTCTCACCTGACTCCTTCGAGGATCCTCTGATGTGACAGTCCTGGTGTTCGGGTCCTGCCACAGTTCACAAATGTTCCAAGCCAGGGTGGGAGGGTCAGCCTGGTGGTGGTATAGTATCCTCTCACTCTCTTCTCCCAGAGAAAACCACGTGTTATTCCCTTTTTACACAGATGGGAAAACCAAGCCAAGAAAGGGCACATGACTGGCCCATCTGTTGACCTTGACTAGCACAGCACTCTTTTCATCATGCCACGTTACACTTGTATATCTCCGTGGATGTGCCTAGGAGGAGAGTTCTGACTTGTAGAACTCTGCACAATTGATGGTCAGTTGGAGAGTTTCCAGAAAGTTTAAGTAAAGGAAAGAAATAACACTTGCGGCACGTTTTTTAGTAGAAGCTTAATGCCAGCAGAAGACTTGTTTACTTCTGGTGCTATGCTTGTGTGGCTGGGTGTTTATCTCACTTTCTATGAAGGAACGCAGTAGATATGTTCTTTTAAAAACGCTGGACTCAAGACCTGGGATCACCCTTCTACTCCTCCTCATGCTGTTTGCTTTGGCAGCCAGCCAGCTGCCTGCCTCTATGTGTCAAAAACAAGATCTCTCCACCAAGGACGTGATAGAGCTATCTGCAAGCCATTTTAAGACACATATTCAGACTTAATGATGGCACTTGAATTAGTTTTCCTAGCGACTGTGCACCAGAACTTAACACAGGCCACCTTCTAAAACTTAAATGTATTGCTCACCTAGGTGATTCTCTCAAGGCTCCACCTGTTCTTAAAGTTTTTACAATTCTAACCTGTTTAATTTTTGCCTCTTACAGCATAAACTGCTGGAAAATAGTGAAGGGGACATCCTCTAGAGCAGTGGTTCTCAACCTTCCTAATGCCGTGACCCTTTAATACAGTTCCTCACGTTGTGGTGACCCCAACCATAAAATTATTTTCCCTGCTACTTCATAGCTATAATTTTGCTACTGTGATGAATCGTAATGTAAATACCTGATATGCAGGATGTATTTAGGTGACCACAGGTTGAGAACTGCTGAGAGAGAGTGAGAGTGATGGCTAAGGCAGAAAAAGATAAACAGTATGGTTGGCACATTTAAAAAAGCTTATTAAATTGATTCTTTAGCCCTGATTGCCCTTCTTGTTTCAGAAGGTCAGTACTAATCATTTAGCACAATAGGACACTGGGCATATTGTAATTATGATGTGACCTTTGAGAAGCATCATACTTGAGTCTGGTGGACTCTGTTTAAGAAGAAGGGGAGAGTTTAGGAATATTCAGAAAATTAAATAAAAAGTTGTGAAGCTCAAAGTGTTGATTATACTGAAAGTGTGTTAATGAGGACGGTTTTTCCCTACAGATACTGGCAGCAGGAAATCTCATGCCATGCTGATTGGTGGCAGTGGTTTTTAGTTTAAAGAATTTTTTTTTTCTGTTGAGATCTGTAGCTCTCTCATAGACCAAGGTGGGCCTCGAGGCCAAGAGTTTGAGACCAGCTTGGGCAACAGAGGGGGATCCTGTCTCTAAAAATGTGGAAGAAAAAAAGTTTGGTGATACCAATCTGTAGTCCCAGCTACTTGGGAGGCTGAGGCAGATGGATCACTTGAGCCCCCGGAGTTTGAGGTTGGTGTGGGATATGATCTGCCCCTGTCCTCTAGCCAGGGTGACAAAGTGAGAGTTCGTATCTAAACAAACAGGGATGGGGAGATAGTTAAATAAATATCTGTAAAACCACAGAGTGGAGTATTATAAAACTGTTGAAAAGATGAGGTCTACTTAACATTTATTGTTAAGGGATGATGGCAAAGAAGTTATGTGTGAAAGTTATAGATCATTTGTATGGTGTGATCCTGTTTTTAATATGTCTGTATAAAATGAATACGTGTTATAGAATGTTTTATATATTTTGGGAGGAAGAACATATATCAAATGTAAATAGTGATCATCTATTTAGGATTATGTGAAGATACTTATTTTCTATTTCTTAAATCTCTGTATTATTTGAACTGTTCATAAATATAAAACCAGAATTATTTGGTATTAACTTAGAATTTTTTTTTATTAGAGATATTGTCTTGTTATGTTGTTCAGGCTGGACTTGAACTCCTGGGATCAAGTGGTCTTTGTGCCTCAGCCTCTTGGTAGCTGGCCCAATCAGCATGGGCCCCCCTTTTTAAGGTGTTGTAGTTCTTTGACTCACGGGAACTTCCCTGATTTCCTTTTTTATAAGGGGGCTGGCTCTTCCACCTTTGAAAAGTTGGATACTGCAACATCCTTTTCTCTTCCCGAACAATATCAAGCAAAATAATGAAAATAAAGCATTAACGATTTTTTTTTAAAAAATGGAATTGCACCTATTCTTTATGAAAATTATGTGGCAAGCATCACTGGGCATCTACTGTGTGTCAGGGTTTGGGATACAAGGATGAATAAGACATGGATCCCATTCTTCAGAGTTCAAAGTGAAGTCCGGAGAGTGGTTAGAGTGGTAGGTGACGGTGGGACTGGGTGATAGGTGTTAACCAGAGGGCAGCACAGTGCACACAGTGAGAGTGGTGCCATGCTGGTAGTTCACTTCTTCAATAACAGGATGTGCCTTTTCTGACACTCTTCTTGGCACTGGGACAGTAGTCAACAAGGCAGGTAAAGTCCAGTTTTATGGAACTTCCATAAACAAGAGAGACATAGACAGGCCATGAAGAGTATGATCATTGTGATGACAAAAAATAAAGATCATGACAGCTGTAGGGGGCAGGGGTTGTTGTGACCCAAGTTAGGGAGCAGTAGCCCTCAGGGAGAGGGAGTGATGGTGTGGAGAGGAGAGGGCAGATGCTAGTGTCAGGGAAGGGTGTCGGGGAGCTGGAAACCACCTTCCAGGCTATGGGTTCAGCTGGTGCAGAGGCCCAGAGGTGTAGGCTATTTGGGAATCCCTAGTCTTTGTATAGATGGAAAGCAAGTCTGGAGGGGCGTTACTAGGGCTCACTGTGAATGCCACCTTTTGGAGTCTGGATTGGATTTGCTGGTGACTGGCTGGCCTGCTGGACTTTAAATTGTGAAGAGACATGAGGGGATCAGTAGTTTAGAAAGTTCCCTCTGACTTTGAGACAGAATTGAAAGAGGAAGGGGCCACTACAATGGCATGGGAGAGATGGTCAGGCCCGGGCAGAGAGAGTGAAGAAATAAACAGAATGAAGAAATAAACAGAATGTAGAGGACCAGGTGGTTATAAGCAAGGGAAATCCTGAGTAGGATAGGAGTAAGAGATTGAAGTAGTGATGAGATAATTCATATCTGTTCATTTGATTATAGGTTTATCTGATGCCACTTTAAGATTTCCTCTCAAAAGTCACGAGTGACCTCCTAAGGCTAAACCTTGGGCTTTTCTTAGCTCAACTTCTCTCTGTTGTTTGGAATTTTTCATGCCTTGACCCTCCCCAGGAACTGCAAAGACCCTTTTCCCAGGGGTCCTTGGCTGGCACCCTGAAAGCTGGACCAGGCAAGTCCTTCCTTAATTTCTTTTGATGTCCCTATTCGTCCTTTTTTGACTCTTCCACCACATCTGGGAGATACGTGAGATGCGCATTGCAGCTTCCACCTCCTTTCTTGTCCCCTAAAGGTTAGTAAACAGGCCCTTTACCCTCAGGGTTTTACTGAGAATCAATACAAGGAAACTCTTAGGAAGCAAAGGTAACAAAGTAACAGAGGTAAAGTGGTGAAGACAGCAAGAGTAACAAGTTAAAGGAGGAAGCAAGTGCAGGGTCCTGCAGGAGGTTCTTCTGCTCTTACAAAGTCACCCCCTGCTCCCTGGCCTCTGGTTAGGCGGTATCAGGCTCAACAGTCTCATCTGTTACTCCCCAGGGTTGAATGTGCCAGACCTGCCTGTCTCCTCCATTCCCCTTCTCCGTGTCCTCCTCACCTCTTTCTCCATGAAAGCTGTCCAGTGCTAGGCATAAAGGTGTAATTAAAGCACTCAGGGCTAGGCCTGGAGTGTCCACTTCTGGGCCACCTGAGTAATTTGCATGTTATGAGGGGCACATATTCCCAAGCTTTACCAGGTATATAGGGGTAGTCTTTTTTTTCAATTTCAGGTTAATGTGAGGGTACGTACAATTAGGTTACATTATTTGTGTTTGTAAGGTAAAGTCCAAGTTGTAGTTGAGTCCCTCACCCAGAAAGTATGCCATGTACCCATATACCCAGACACGGATAGATGGGAACTTGCCACACCCCCATCATAGGGCAGTCTTAAAGTATTTCTTTGTGGAATCACTCTGGTCCTCCTTAGAAACCCCCCCCCCCATCCTCCAATGGATCCATCTGATAATCTGAGCTCCTTATTGGAAGAAATCACCCAGGATATTTTTAGTCCTCAGGATATAAAAATAAAGTGTCAAGGGACTCTTTGCTTTCCTCTTCCCACTCTGCCTGTTTGCCTCTGGAACCTGCCAATGCTGCCTCTTCCTGTGAGACCCACTCACTTGTCTGTGCCTGGGCATCTTCATTGATACCCGGATGGGATGACTGCCATCCCAGACCAACTACTTATTTGCCCTGGGCCGGGTTGGAACCTGCCAGCTCTGGGGTATGTGGCTAGCACCCTAGCCACTGAGCTACAGGGACCAAGCTGGCATTCTGTATTTTTGTTTGCCAAATCTGACAAATAAAATGAGAAGAGAGGAGGACAAGGATAATCCTAAATCATCTTATTAAAAACAACAACAACAAACCAACTAGGAGAAGGAATCACTTCCTAGGTGACTTCCTAGCTCACCTTAGCCATCCTCCATCCAAAATTGAGACTGTCCTTTACCTCCTTTCCACGTCTCACAATGAGGTCATAGGCTGGTGACTTAGGACGGGTTTTCTTTCTGTCCTTTGCTGATTCTTTGTCAGCTTCCAGCTGCAAATTGGAAGGAGTAATCTGAACTCTAGGGAAAACTCCTGCTAATTCTGTCTTCCCTGCCCTCATTTTCTGTTGCATTGGAGCCATAAGACAAGCAGAATCACTGTGCCCCAATCCAGTCTATTATCTCTTAGAAAAGGCAGGTGTTACAAGGGGGTGCAGTGGAGAGTATGGCTAGATAAATAGGATTTTCCCATATTCCTGGGAAACTACAGTGCTTTCTGCTGTTGTCTCTTCTGCCTCCATTGAGGGCCCTTAAGAGGTAACCAGTTATATTTTCCTCCTGAGCTCCTCCTAGGTTCTTGAGGGTTTTTTTGAGACTGAGTCTCAGTCGGTCACCCTGGATACAGTGCAGTGGCATTGTACCTCACAGCAACCTCAAACTCTCAAACTCCTGAGCTAAAGCAATCCTCTTGCCTCAGCCTGCCCAGTAGCTGGGACTACACGTGCCTGCCATGATGTCCAGCCAGATTTAGAGATTGAGTCTCACTCTTGCTCAGGTTGTTCTTCAACTTGTGTGCTCAAACAATCTGCCCACGTCGGCCTCCCAGATTATAGGTGCGAGCCGTTGCACCTGGCCCTTGAGGTCTTATTTTTAGCAGTGCTCTGGCCACTTGTAAGTCAGAGGTCAGCAACCTTTTCTCGTAAAGGCCAGACATTACAGGCCACCTGGTCTCTGCCATAACCACTAAACCCCGCTGTTGTAGCATGACAACACGCAAACCAGTGGATGTGGCTGTATTCCAGTGAACTTCTATTTATGGATACTGAAATGTGACTTCCATGTAGTTTATTATTTTTCAACTGCTAAAGAATGTAAAAAGTGTTTCTTCATTTGTGGGGCACACAAAACCTTGTGAGCCATGGTTTGCCAGCCCTCTTCTAAGTCATCAGCAGAGAAAACCTGACTCTCAGCTTCCCTCTTAGGGGCTAAATGGCTTCTTGCCCTAAGGCAGCAGTTCTTAATCTGTGGGCCTTAATCCACAGGAACTGTTATAAAGAGCCACAGCATTAGGAAGGTTGAGAGCCACTGCCCTAAGGCCACATCTTATGCTGCTACCAGGTGACTGACTGGGCCAGGACCCGAAGCAGTGGGTTTGGCCTTTTTGCTGCCAGCAGTGCAGGTACATGCCGCACAGAGGTGGTTCCCATGTGGGTCTGTAGATCTGCAGAGTCTGAGCTGTTAACGGTCAAGTCTGGCCATAAATTCAGTGTTATAATGAATGTAGTTCATAATGGTCATATGCTCTAATACCCAGGGTAATTTGGGGCTAATAAATAAGTAACCAGCAGATTTGAATGTGGGGCAATTGTATGCCTCTGGTGTAATGCTGCTTTCGACATATAGCTGTGTGCGTGCTTGGTGTTGTGTGGTTTCTAGGTAGGAAGATTGATTAGCCTTGAGTTTCTGTCACCGGATGGAGTGTGGCTGCACCTGAAACACGGGTTGGGAGGCAGGGCCCTTCATTCTCGAGTGTGACCGATGGAGGCTCTGTGTTTTATGGATAGAAGATGTGCTTTGTGAGGTGGGCAATGGAATTACATGGCCACAGAAATCACTC